GGATCTGACAGGGGTGGGAGATCGGGGTCGGGGAACGGGGGGTAGCGCGCAGTGGGGGGGAATGTCGGGGGAAGGGGATCCCGTTTGGTGTCGGGGTAAGGGCGCGGAATGGGGATCTGGGGGGAGTCCGCCAAGTACGAAATCCGAAAGTGGCAGAGGCGCGACTTGAGAACGGGCGCCAACTGCAGAGGGCGCCAACAGTCAGGAACCGGAGATCAGAAACTCCAAAAAAAATAGAATAGCAGCCTGGCGGGTGGTACCCCGCGGACCAGGGATCGAGCCCTGGCTGGGTCCGTAACACTGAGGGTGTTGCCCATTATGGTCCCCAGTTGCTGCTGCCCAGCACATCCTTGGTGAATTTGTCAACGATGTCCTGTTTCTTTGTGGGGTCATCTTTGATGCGCTTTCTTGCTCTGCGCAGTTCGACTGGTATTCTGCTAGCAGGGTCTGGATAGGGCCTTCACATGCTTCAGCCAGCGACGTTGTTTGTGTGGCAATTGTCTGCTTGCTGCGTCTGTTCCAGATTGCCCACAGTGTTATGGGGCAGTGTCTTCGGTAGAGTGTGCGTTGTCACTTCTCCTGCATGTGCGGTGCTTTGAGGCCGGTGAGTGTGGCTGCCGGGTTGTCTTGCAGGGGCCAAGATGTAGCCACTTCCCCAAAGGTTGGCTGCTCTGGTCCAGAGTTGAACTGTGTGCGGGCAGGTGAGTAGGCAGTGTGGCAGGTTCTCCGGGGTGACCTCCTCGCAGAGGGCGCAGGTTTCGTCGAAGTCTGGCCCAGCAGCTGGGGATCTACGTTTGCTGAGCCACTGGTTGACTGGCAGCGCTTGGTAGTAGATCAGCCACTGCATGCTGAGTTGCTTACCTGGTGCTTGCTTGTAATTTGTATTTGAGTTTTCATTTGCCTTTCCCTTTTATCTGTTACAGTAATTATCTTGACAGGCCAACAAGGCAGGGCAGGTTGCGAAAGCACATCCATCCTGCACCTCTTTCCGAATCTCAACCAAGCCCGTCTGCATCCTGCTGGAAACGAAAATGGGGGTCGTCGTCCATGGGAAGAGTGGCAAGGTAATTTCCGGGTGACCTTTTCAATGACGGTCTTTCCAAGGCCGCTTGTGATCAGTCCTGGGATGAGTATGGTCTGAGCCAAAAACAATAGGGTGAGAAAGAAAAGGACCCTCTATGGACGGATGCTGGAAGGGCTTCCTTTGGCATCACAAGATGAGTAGAGACCTTCACTAGAATCTGGTCCAGAGTAGACCAACTTCTGGACAATTCGGTTAGTTCGCCTTGTAAGCCTGCTCCGAATGCACCGTTTTTCAATTTTTTTCTTTGGGGTGGGGAAATAGGCCCTGCTGTTGGGCCTGCACTTTTCCCTTACTGTGCAGAGCAAAATCGGCTACGGGTTAGCTATCACTTCCTGAAATTATGCTTCTTCTGGAATCCCTCTGGGTTTCACACGGGCGAGCACTAGCAGGTGGATTCGGTGTACTTTTGGTATATCTCTGGCAATCAGCTTGACTTTTTGGCATCGCACTGTAGGCTCAGAGATACTTAACGAACAGCCAAAACATAGAACTGAAAAGGGGAAGGCCGTTGAGAGCACTGACATTGGACCAGCATTGCAGTAGTATAGCGATGGCTTTCACGGATGTATGCGACTTCCATGGAAGATATCGAGAGGCCAAGAGGTAGCTGTCTGACCGTCCGTTCTCCTCCAGGCAGGTATATGCTTTTAGCCGGGGCGTTGGGGTTTGAACGGTTTCTTGCCATTGCGATATAAGGTACTCTGCCAATTTAGCTGCTCTGACAACCCAGAATGCAAAGATGGTATTTCCCAGCATTCGATAAGGAAGGGCAAACCCACACCAATACTTTCATGGATGCATGCGGCTCCGGTCACATATAGATTTAAGCGAAGAATTAGTACTGTGACTCTGTGTGGATCTCTCTTTCCTTCAACACGATCACGTGCCCTGGGTCATAGATAGATTTAAGTGAAGAATTAGTAGTGTGACTCTGTGTGGATCTCTCTTTCCTTCAACACGATCACTTGCCCTGGATCACAGTCGAATCCACATGACAAATGTGGAACTCGTTTGTAAACAATCAGGCTCAGTTGACTACTCTGTGAACAAGAAGATTCGCTGCAAGTATTCTCAGGCATGCACTTGTGCTTCAGCGGCATCGAGGTTCCAAGGGTTCAGTTGCTCGCTGATGAAAGTGGTAAACTCGTTGCCATTTCGGACGAGTACCTGCAAATGTTGGGCTGAGATTAGGATGCCAGGACGAGTCGAAGGGTCTGGCAGTGCCATGCAGGCTTTGAGCATCTCACTGCTTCGGAGGCTAATGGATTGTGCCTTTGTTGGACTCAAATCGTTTGGATTACGATTCATGCCGCTTCTGCATTTTCGTTTGCTGCAGTGGATTGTTTCTCCCATGTGTGCTGGAGCCTAAGTGTGGAATGATGTTGCCCTAGCCTAAGTGCTGTCTGATGCGATGAAAGATGCTGACTTGATATATGCCTTGTTGATTGTGGTGGTGGATGCAGATGGGAGTTTTCAGCAGCAAAAGGGCTGATCAAGACGTGGGAAACCCAGGGACTGAGAAGCATGTAACGTTTGAAGGAGTTATGGTGAAACCAGGTCCAAATAATTCTGCACGGCATGGGTGGCGTCTACAAGGTTCGCGGAGTGCAAAGCATTTTCTGGATGTGAAGTCAACTGGGATGGCATTTCCATCGGTGTCATCGCCACCAAGCACAGGGGCGATGTCACCACCGTGCTTTCATTTGAGATGCCCGCCCTTTTCGCTGTGGACCTTACCAGATGCTGTGGTGTCATCACCATTTGCAAGAATAACCTCACAGATTGCAAACATGAAGTCCTTCACATGGAAACCGTTCTCCATATCCCTCTATGACATGTTCAAGGAGCACCACCCAGAAAGTACAACACTGGCAAACTTCTCCATAAATGTTTTCTGGGGGCAGCTGCTGACTGAGTCACTGGCAGAGCAGCTTGGTTTGGTAGGGCAGTGCTTTGAAGGGGGTATCGGCATCCAATCAAACAAGGAGGCAGCAGCGAAGTTGTATATACTGGCTCTAGAGTGGTCATCCAGTTCAGAAGAGGAGGAGAAGAGCAATCAAGGAGTTTGCCATGCGTTGTCTTTTCTGACGAGGGGGCAGACAACGGAGGCACTATGCAATCTGGCAAGATGCTGTGACCTTGGCAAGGGAAGGCGAAGGGACCCGGAACAGGCCTTGAAGTTCTACGAGATTGCGGCCAGTAAAGGCGATCATGTGGCAATGTACCATCTGGGACGGTTTTGCGAGTATGGGAGAGGGGGGAAAGAGAGGTCAGATAAAGAGGCCCGCATGTGGTACGAGCGAGCATCAGAGTCTGGGAACCCAGCAGCGTTCTTCAAGCTGGGGCTCTACTACCTTGACCCTCGCTTTGCCACTGCCAATGACGACATGAATCCGAAGGAGGCGGCCCTTAAATACTTTGAAAAGGGAGCTGAGGCTGGCCATCCAGAGGCGCAGTTCCTGCTTGCATCAATGGGGGCAGAGGGGATGTGCATGTCTCCTGCTCAGGACTGGTTGGAGAAAGCTGCATCCCAGGGTTGTTTGCTAGCGATTTTATCGCTGAAGTTGCCAGCACTTACGACACTGCCGAAGCAATATCTGAAGTCATACGGGCCATGGAAGTGGGGCCACTATAGCGAGAAAGGTCTAGAAAACCTGATCAAGGAGGGAAGGCACTTTGAAGCAGGATATGCTTACATGAACGGATTTGGAGAAGTGCAAGATGAGGCAAAGGGCTTGATTTGTTTTTCCAAGGCATGGGAGGGGCTGCTTCAATGTGTCAATGCTTCTGAGCCGAGTGCCAAAGGGGGCTCGGCATGGAGCACCGTCCATTGGATGGAGGAAATCCTCAGCAGCGACTTACTAGCCTGTCAAGAGGGCTGTTTGCAGTACAACATTGCTCTGTGTTTCGCACTAGGAAGAGGAGTTCCACAGACAAAGAGCATGGAGCGATACTGGTTGAAACTTGGAGAAACCTTTTCGCAACCCGTCCCGAATTGGGAAACGCTGTTGGGGAAGGCCGTGATCCATCAGGAGCAGGGAAGTGATGCAAAGTCATCGAAGTGGTTTGATCGAGCTGGGTTTGGCTTTTTCGGTAATCCAAACAGGTCGCAGGAGGACAGGGGAGTCATAGCCTGTGATGTAAAACTGCTGGAAAGGCAGTCAATGAGGAAAGATTGTGGCACCACGGAGAGGATAGCAGGTACGGGGACGGCATCACTGTCACGCGAAGAAGGGCTTGGGCTTCATAGAAGTGCTGATGATGATGCATCTGAATACGGCTCAGCTGGTGAGGATCTGGAACACGAGGACGGTTCTCAACTGCAGATGGCTATGTCTGTGCTCAAGGACCTTGCAAAGGAGCTGTTGACCAAGAATGAGTTTCTAAGTCAGTTGTCGAGGGTAAGTGACGAAAGAGTGGACGAAAGAGTGAGAAGCCTTCGATTGGATGGCGAGCAGTGGAGGGTGCTGGAGAAGCTGACACAAAACTTGCTGCAGAAGGAACGAGAGGACAAAGTGCGGGATGGACTTCGACAGGCACTCTATCTTGGGCAGTACTACAAAGGCATCCAGCGTGAGTTGATGGAATACTTCATAAGCGCAAAGGCGGCCGATGGAGGGTTTGTTCCACCTCTTGCAAAGTATACCATGGCAACTGAACTTCTTGCAGGTGCAGCAGAGTTTGTACCTATTGTCGGTAACCCGCTGGCCACGTTCATACAGATGCTGGGAGCAACAATCGGGACACAAGCAGTCATGAAGATTATTAAAAGGATCTCCAAGTGGGCAGACACCCCTGACGAGTTCGGGCGCATAGCTGACTGGGCAGCACATGTGCTGACCCTCCATTTCAAGGACGAGATTGAAGAGGCAGGGAGATCGGATGCAGAGAAACTGTCAAAGCACGAGAGGGCACATCTCAGGAACATCTCTGCCGATGTTCAGGACGCGGGTGGCGATTCTCCGGAGCAGCCTGTGAAGTTTCTGAGCCAGAAGGTTGTGAAAATGGTGAAGGATCATGTGCGAAGGATTATGACAGCAACGCAGAAAGGGGAGGTTGTACGGGAAGACAGGTGGGAGGAGGAGGAACAGAGGAGGAGATTGGTCCGTGCCATGGTGGTTGCCATCACACAGCAAGAGCCGCCGCCTTCCCAGCTACAGCCTTTTTTAACTGGGATAAGAGAGAGGCTAGAATCCTCAATCGGTGAAGCCACGGAGTTGAAGCACAGGAAAGTCCGGAGCTGGTCTCATTTTGATCCCGACTTGAGTGACTCAGAAGAACACACAAACACGGCCTTGCGACGGAAACTAGAGACAGCAGACGAGGAGAAAAAGAAGCTGCAGCAGACACTCTCAGAAGCGATGGAGGAGAACGCGAAGTTACTGGAGGAGATTAGAAGGCTTGAAGGCCGTTGTGATTTGCTGCACAGGGAATGTGCTGATAAACAGGAGTCACTGAAGCACTGCCTGGAAGATATTGAAGCACTGAAACGCGAGCTCTCATTTCTCACGCAGCGGCACTTCGACTATGTGCAGGGGGAGCTCTCCTTTCTCACCAAGAGGTATGTAGCCTACATTCGCAATGATCCAATACGCCCAAGGCGTGTTCCGTCTGAGGAGCTGGCCGCCAGGGGTGCTACCCTTACCGGCAGCAGGTACCCTGATCGTACGGCCAAAGGGGTTAAGTGCCGTAATGCCCGGATGCGCCCTTCGGGTTCCTCCAGGATAAGGTCACATTCCGCCTCTCCTGGACATCGATTGGCAGGGGTTTACAGTGACGATGACGAGGAGGTTCAGCCAAGAGAACAGCCAAGGAAACATACGAAGAATTACAGTGGTCTGTCGGGGATGTTTCTGGGGCGGAAAAGGAAAATTTCAAGGGGCGCAGATGATGCGTACGTCGCATGATCTCCTTCTGTTAACTTGTACATATCCAGTTTAGTCCATTTGCCCGATGACGCAGTTGAAAGCCTTTTACTTTTGGTTTACCATTTCAAAGGGGTGAAGACAACAATCGACGCTGTACTTTTATATTGTTATATCAATCAGCTTATACACGCTATTCATTTTACCTCCAGAATTCCAATCCAAGATTGCTGGAGAAGTTGCAATAATGTACTCCGATGGAGCGTAGACATAACCTTGCCAAGCAATTGAGTGCTGCAACTCGGAGGAGAGAAGGAATCGAACCGCAGACCTCCATTCCATCTTCCTCTCCCTTACCTGCACCAGGTTCTGACCCACACATCTAAGCGAAGTTGGCACGGGCTCGGTGAGTGATCAGGGCCCTCAAGTTCAATCTTCTCCCTGTAGTGATTTCTTTATTGGCCAGTGAGTTCAAACTTCTAATGCCCCATAAGCTCTGTGCAAAGGTTCTAATTGTGTAGGATCTATATTGGACTTCTAGTTTTTCTGACACGCTTCAGAACGTTCACGTTCTGTACAGGGTCTTCTGCAGTAGGCTTCTGTTCCTTAGAGCACATTCCACACCGGTTCAATCTTGGTCTGATCCATTATGAACTCACATAGGAGGAGTAAGCCATATTGGATGGCCATATTGGATGGCTAGAATTCTCTCTGTCTCTGTCTCTGTCTCTGTCTCTGTCTCTGTCTCTGTCTCTGTCTCTGTCTCGGTCTTTGTCTTTGTCTCTGTCTCTGTCTCTGTCTCTGTCTCTGTCGCTGTCGCTGTCTCTGTCTCTGTCTCTGTCTCTGTCTCTTAGCAGACACTGATTGTGCAGCGCTATCAACATGGCCAGAACAAGATGGGAATCCCATATGGGCCATTCACCAATTGGCAGTTGCAGCATGTTTGGTGGCTTTTTTTTTTTTTTCTTCACAGAATAGCATACCATACTATTTAATATTTATTCGATCCCATCAGAACTTGAACTCGGCATCTGTTTGCCCACCGTTATGCATGTAGTACTGTCCACTATTCAGCCACATCGGCTGGGATATTGGCAGTTTTCATTTTTATCCCAGGCACTTTGCACGGCCCACTGCTTTTATTTTCTCTTTTCGAAAGAGGAAACAAAACACCCTGCTCTGGCAAGGTCTTAAAAAGTACTAACTTAAAACCATTAAAAGCGTTAAATCCTTATCTCTCCAGGAGAGCAGGGATTCCTTTAACTCTGCGGCAAATAGTTTCAGATCCTTGAACTCTGCCACTCTGCAACTCTGCAAGTATGCCAGTAGCAGAGGCCAAAGAGTTTGGTTCCTGAGACTCTGTAGAATGCTTCTGTTGCTGGACCAAACACTGGAGAAGAACCGCAGTTGCTCAAATTCTATGGAAGATTTTTGACTCGCAATTCTTTTTTGTTTCTTTTCTCGCAAGGGGTAGCTCTTAACGTTATTCGTTGGAGTCTTCCAGGGTTTGAAGTTTGGACTCGTGATCTGTTTATTAACAGTTACGTGCTTGTAGGAACTCTGTACCATTCAGCCACATGGGCTGGGTTGGACTTAATTCCCTCTCAGGAGAGAAAGAAAGAGAGTTTCGACTTTTCTCGATAGTGAGATTGTTTATTTTTTATTTATTTTTTACCTTGATTTTCTCTTTCAAGTCTTTTTTTGTGCGTTAATTCTTTTTTTTTTTTTTTTCCTGTGACATTCTTTTGGGCAGAGACCAGTGGATGTCGAAGGTTTGAGGGATTGACTGGCACGCTCTGGCTGCAAACTGCGAAATTATTTCACTGCAGTTGCTTGTAGTGGCATTTTGAGAAATTGATGCTTGCTGGGATTCAAAGGACATTACACAATTCGCGGAATTATTCCTTTTCCGTTTTGATAGCCAAAAATTCAGTATGATTCAATTTATTTTTTTTTATTTTTTTTTCTTCCCCCCCCCCTGCGAGTCCCCAATGCTTGCCATCCTCCTCTTGTCATCTTGTTATCAGCTGCGGCATGGTCATAAGCCCTGCTGATAATTTGTACAGTACTGAACTACTCCACGTCGTTTTTCTTTCGTCTTCTTCTTTGTTTTTCTTCTCAGGATGCAGCTGCTTGCTCAGAGGTAGGCAGGCAGGCAACCAGAGGCAGTGGCTGTTTTGTTCCAGATTGCGTGTTTCTGCTCATATTTGTATATCCGTTTGGGTTGGTACTTGGGACAATGGGCTTTGTCCCATTGCCCCAAGTGGGCCTTGATCCATCCCCCACCTCGGTACTTGGGACAATGGGATTTGTCCCAAGTAGGTCAAGTGGGCCTTGGTTCATCCCCCACCTTAGAACTTGGGACATTTGGAAGCACCAACATGGTGCATTTGGGTTGGTACTTTGGGCAATGGGATTGGACCCAACTAGGCCTTGATCCATCCTCCTTCTGTAGCTGGGACTATTGGATTGGTCCAAGCGGGTCTAGATCGATCCCCCATCTAGGTTCTCAGGACACTTGAAGCACCGACAGGGTGCATTTGGGTTGGTTCAGGCAATGGGATTGGTCTCAAGTGGTCCTTGATCCATCCAACCTTGGTTCTTGGAACAATGGGAACTGGTCCCCAAGTGGTCCGTGATCCATCCCACCTTGGTACTCGGCACAATGTGATTTGTGCCAAGTGGATCTTGATCTATTCCCACCTCGGTACTCGGGACAATATAAGCACCAACATTGTGCTGTTAGGTTTGGTACTTTGCACAGCAATGGGATTGGTCCCAGCTGGTGGGAGGGATCTCAAGGCCCAGGGGTGATGAATATGCTATATGTAGAGTAGACTGTCCAACCAGTTTTTATTGGATGAAGGAAAGAGGAGCGAATAGGCTGCACATTATGACATGATTGTAGGATTCTGTAGTCTACATCTCGTACATTGCCCAGTGTGCCTTTCTTCCTTGCTTTGGCAACATGGATCATCTATCTATTTATTTACCTATGTATTGGGTGTACCTAACTGGAAGTCTGGTCATAATAAATTATGTATTGACTCTATTGAGAAAGGAGGATGGAAGGTTATCTGTTATCTGTAACCTGGGGTGAGCTCCGACTGGCGAAGAGGATTGGGTTTAAGGCTTGAATCTGAACTTGTTTGTGTTGACATGAAGAAGATCACTATTGATGTGCCTTTCTGAATCTCTACCTCAAACCCGTCCAGATTCAGGCACTTGATCTAATTCTTCTTTGTTAGTGGGACCTTGCTCGTGCACTTGCTGAACTTCTTCAGCTGCTGCTCCACCTCACAGGTCGATTTATAATTGTCTCAGCCTGGCTGGCATTGACTAAGTGAGCTGCTTGTTTCTCCCATTTAGGCAAGTAGTAGTGCTTGCTTTCTTTTTTCCAGCCTGGCTGCTGATGTCGTATATGCTGACGCCCCGGCATGTGCTTGAGGCATGAGCTGACTAGCAGCATTTCAGCTGATCGTTTACTTGTCAGCCAGGCACGAATGCAGCATGCTGTATTGTCAAACTCCCAAGCGCTCTCTGGGTGCAGTCGTGGCATGGGAGCAAGGGTGGTTTTCTCAGTGTGTTTAAATGTAAGGAGATGGTTCTCCAGCATCAAATGATTAGGCATAACGATGACACTAGTGCACGGGGCCCTTCCTCCTACACTTCTCCTCCTTAACTCAGTTTTCGCCCAGCCAATGTTGGGAGTGCTTCGAAATAGTGATCGGTGTAGTGCCTGTCAAGGGATGGACTTGCCCAAACTTTTTTGAGTTCTTGGGATTTCCTTTTGGCTGCTCGTCCGTAAACAACTCAAACCAAGGGATCGACTTGCTGATCGATCACGAGTCTGGAGAGGGCCCATTACTGGAATCAGGAAAGGCTTTGCATACAGAGTTGTGCATGGATATGGCGGACACGACACATTTGTACATTTCTGCGGACTGCTTGGTGATCAACAGTGAAGATTGTGGAGCTGCCTTCCTAAGGCGCACACAGTAGAGGAGGTGCCCTTGATAGCAATGGAGAAAGCCACAAGGCTGTCCAGTTTTATTTCCAATCAACATGGTGAACGGAAAGGGGGGAGAGGAGGGGAGAAGGGGTCGGGGGGCGGGGGGAGGAAGGAGAACACAGAGGGAGTTGGTCAGACTATAGTAGGCAGCCAATCTGAAGCTGCAGAGCAGAAACAGCCCTCAGAGCGTAGTGCTGGCACTAGGACTTTGGTGAACGTATTTGAGGATAATTGCGGCCAGATTCAATCTACATTGTCAGAGGGTCAGTACTTCCTTGGCCTAGTCAAGGCCTGCTTACTACTTAGGGCTCTTAGGGGTTTCAAATTTCAAACGTACAAAAAGGAAATATTTTTCTTTTCAGAAATGAGCCTTTTTTTTTTTTTTTTTTTTTTTTTTTAACAGCAAGGAGAAAAAAGAGGAAAAAAACATTAGAAAAAACGAAGGACCTATATTAGACTGGTCTCCAACGCAGACAGGGCAATAAATCGGAAGCTACCGTCGTATTTTATTTTGGATTGACGAGTTTGGGGGGTGGGGGGTGGAGATGGGAGGCAGGCAGGTAGGTTCGTAGGGAGAGAGGGAGAAAGGGAAGGAGGGAGGGAGGGAGGTGGGCAAAGGTGGCACGAGTGTGGGCAGGAGACATGGTCGGGACTCAAGCGGGCGGGGGTGGTTGGGGGGGGGGCGTGGGGACTGTTTCTCGTGCTGCTGGCAGAGAGAAAATCCAAACAGTTACTGCCTTTTTTTTTTTCTTTTTCTTTTTTCCCAATTCGTGACTCCATCTATTCGTGGGGAGCAGCACGTGCTGGATAACGGGTCCAGCGTCCCATATACATAAAGATCAAAGTACAAACACATGCTGCAACCCATACCTCTTCTCCAACCAAGGGGCAGAAGAAACCTTTAACGGGTAAACCTCAACGCTATGCATCTAGCTGCCCACTCTCAGCAATATCTTCCCTCTGTCAGGTCCATAAATCATCTAGTAGGGCCTCCCTGCACTACTCTCGAAATGTGCAGAAGGAGAGTGAATCTTCCGCTAGAATATGGAAAGATACACGGCTCGGTCGGTAGGTGCTTCAGTGGCTCGGCCGCTCGGTCGGTAAGGACTTCGAGTCGCTCGGTCGGTAGGTGCTTCGAGAGGCTCGGTCCGTAGGTGCTTCAGTGGCTCGGCCGGTAGATGCTTGGAGTGGCTCGGTCGGTTGGTGCTTGGAGTGAATCGGTGGGTAGGTGCTTGGAGTGGCTTGGTCGATAGGTGCTTTGAGTGGCTCGGTCGGTAGGTGCTTGGAGTGGCTTGGTCGGTAGGTGCTTGGAGTGGCTCGGTCGGCAGGTCCTTGGACTCGGTCGGTATAGGTGCTTGGAGTGCCTCGGTCGGTATAGGTGCTTGGAGTCCTCGGTCTGTAGGTGCTTGGAGTGGCTCGGTGGGAAGGTGCTTGGAGTAGCTCGGTTGGTAGGTGCTTGGAGTGGCTCGGTTGCTATAGGTGCTTGGAGTGGCTCGGTC